AAGTTTCTGTCCAATTGAAACTTGGGCGATGAGAAACTCTCCCTATTTGGTAAATTCTTGACTTTCCATAACACAATAAGAAACAAATCCATTATTGCTAATAATTTTAACATCAATTTTTCATACACGCCATTGTAAGGATAAATAAATAAAATTTAAAATCAAAATTTATTTTATTGCGGAAAAATTTGTCCTTCACAATGCAACTCATTGAAAAACTTATGCGAATACATCTTTCTTAGCAATCTAATTCTAACTCTAAGTAGTAGCTCAAGAATCTAATCTTCGAGAAACGCAATCGAAATCCATTCCTTCACGGTTAGATTCTGCTCACTTCTTCCCTTAAGCTTCTTTTCTTTTCTTTGATCCTTCTAAACATCAATTGTAATCTTATCACATTATGTATTCAGAACCTAGAATGAAGCTTAAAAGAGTTAGTCAATGGATTTTACCTAAATTAGAGCCATACGTTTCGACTCTCCCATCTCTTAGATCTCTTAGGTAAATAGGGCAGCTTCGTCTCCAATGCCCCTTCTCTTGGCAATAAAAGCAAATTGACTCTTTTTGGAACAACACATGGAACTACTTCAGACATCGCCTTTCTCTTATGATCAAACTTTTCGATCATTGCATGTCTTTCATTGCCATTGTCTATATCCACAGAGGTCTCGAAGGCAGATTCACCAATCAACTTTGCTTTTCTATTGCGCCAAACCATTGCTGATTCAGCAGCAATAAGCATATAGGTGAGATCTATAAGGGTCACGTCGCGGTTCATCATATAGTACTCTCTTACGAACTCACTATATGAGTTAGGAAGTGATTGAAGAACCCAATCAACAGCCATCTCTTCACCGACAATGGATCCTATCATTCTTAGTCTATCAATGTGCGACTTCATCCCTAGGACGTGTGCACACACCGACTTTCCTTCTTTATGTTTACTTGCCAAAAGGGCTTGAGTGATATTGAACTTTTCAATTTTACAATCTTGTGGGTTAGGGAGAATAATTGGAGGAGGAGGAGGAAGTGAAGCATGATTTCTTGTTCCTCGATCGAATCGTGGAATATCATCTTCATGTGGAATGCTTGTTCCACGGATTTGCGAAGACCATAGTTGTCGAACTTTGACATCGGGAGAAAAACGAATTCAAGTTAGTTGATTGATTGAGTCCTTGGTAAATCACCCAAATGAAATTCCAAGGCTAGGACCCAACACAATATCCTACAACTCGGGAGAGGGATGCCGTAACCCAAATCGCAGAACATTTGAAGGTAAGTGAATGACGATTCACTAGTTTTCACCATGAGAAACGAAAAAGAAATTTAAGTTTTAAATCTATGAAAACTCCTAGATCCTTTGAGATTCATTGAACATTTCAATGGCATGTTTAAATCTCGATATGCCCCTCTTGTTTGTGACTGGGATGCCGAGGATCACAAAGCGGGTGTGAATAACCATGCAAACTACATGGTGCCCTCACATGTTACAATCACCTATTCGATGTGCCGGTAAACCACACACGCTCCACCGAACTATGACAAACATTGAGTCACCCTTTGCTACCTTTGCTTAGAACCATTTAGTGTGCCGGTAAACCACACACGCTCCACTAACGTCTTCGCAAGGGCACAAAGTGTAATTTCATGGAATTGCATCAATTCACTTTTGCCTAAGTAACTAAGATTGGGAATTTGCGAAACATTTAGTTACTCTGTATTTCATTATACTTATAATGGAAGGTTTCGTCCTATCCTACCCGTTCGGCTAACGACCCTCCACTAGTCAAGAGTGCGGTGGGTAAGAGTGGATACCCATTCAATCGCCATTTTATAGGCAATTTCCTTAAACACCCCTTATAGACCAGTTTCGTGAATGAGGCCTACTAACGGTAAGACTGACTTTTACTTATACATATATATATATATATATATATAATGTTAGACTTTTAATGTTATATATAGTATAGGGTGTACTTTATACTTTTAAAATACTATATGGTTAACTTTAACAATTACACTTTTAATTCAATTAAAAGGTTAACCTAAATTTTTATGGATTTATTAAACCTCCTTTAATTATACACCTTAATTAATTAATAAAACCATAAAGGGTGATTTGAACTTTTCAAAACATTACTAGAGTTTTAGAATTTAACATTTCTAATTAACCTTTTAATCAACCTTTAAATTCCAAAACTTGAGGGCAAGTTTTGAAACATTTCAAAACATTAGGGTTTTAACTATTTAAATTTCAAAACAACAAAACTTTTGGGGTTCAAATTTAAACTATAAAACCTAAAGGGATAAATTGAAACTATTTCACAAGATAATTCAAATCTAAATTACAAATAATCATACTTTATCTAATAAAACAAGTGATTATCTAAATTTTGACAATTATCTTCTATTTTGGTAAGGATAATCACATAATAATGAAAAAATTCGGATTTTATCACAAAAGCAAGTTTATGGTAATTATCCAAAACCAAAACAGGAAGAAAATCGCGAATATGAGCTGTCAGACCCTTTGACTCGTCAAGTCTGGACCTGGACTCGTCGAGTACAGCTGACTCGGCGAGTTCACCAAGTGACTCGGCGAGTCAAACATTCAGAAACTCAAAAAATCGATTTTCAGTGCTTATTTCGATCAAATATGCATCAATACAATTGAAACCAATCTAGGCTCTGATACCACTGATGGGTTTTGGTCATAAGACATCCTATGTGCTCATACAAACCCTAATGCTTGGATCTAGGTTTCTCTATTGTACATGCTTTGAATCCAAGACTATAAACCCTAATTCTAGCATACAAGTAATCATATTAATATGTAATTAGGTTTAAGATCATACCTTGATTGTTATGTAGTAATAACAATCCCAAATCTCCTTGTATTGACTTTGGAATACTTAGAGTCACAAGTGTCACTCCTCTAATGGCTTACAAACACCATAAGCAAGTGGAGAAGGTATAAAGAGAGAGGTGAGAGGTTAGAATTCGTATCTAGGACCTCTTGGGAAGGGATACACGAATTCATGGCCCTAGGGGTGTTTATATAGGTGTAGAGATAGGGTTTCAGTCATTATCCTTATCTAGTTGATTATCCATTAAGCAACCAATAAGATAATCCTTGAATCCTTATCATACTCGAATTCTAAGGGATTTACACCTCAAATTCGTTCACCATATATATAAGGTAATCCTTACCTTATTTTGTAACTATCACATAATTACAATTCAGCCCCTCTAGTTTAATTAATTACATTTGATCACAAAACTAATTCTTAATTAATTATTGACCAATATTAATTAAACAAATATGATTTCTCCTTTAATATATTATTCTTATAACATATTAATAAATCATATTATCCTCTCTCTCTTTATTCATTTCTCCAATCAAGTTGCTTTGGTGAAGGCAACCCAAAAGGACCATGCACCATCGGGTCAAGTACATACCAAAATAGTTATGGACTTAGACACTAATCCAACATTTTCTCTGCCACATCTCTCTTCCTTTTTGTTGTAGGTCTTCCGTGCATCCTTCTTCTTTGGGGAGGTAAGGATGGGGTGATTGATGTCTCTGGCCACATGTTACTACCATTCATAGGCAAGATATTATTCAAGTATGTTTTATTGTAGTTTTATCTACAGAAAATAGGATCCACATAGATGTTCACATCCCTATTTAGAAATAATATTGTAGCAACTGAATGGGCACACCCATATCCATTTAGTTGCCATAACCTACAAGAACATGTCTTGTTGTCAAGATCCACTTCATAAGCTTGACCATCATTTCTTGTTTCAAACTTGTTTAGTCCACTTGGGAGCACTTGCCAGTACCTAGCTTCATTCTTTAAACCATTTAGTAACTGCCTTATTGCAGGACTTACATCCTTTGTCCATTTCTTTTGTTTCAAGTTAAACACCCTCTCCCTGATATATAATCCCAACTCCTCCAACATAGTGATTATTGGTTTCCTTCAGCCTCAACAATTACTGCATTAAAGCTCTTATAAATACAATTCTACATTGCAGCACATGTCCTCCCTAACTCATAAAATACTCTTGACCAAGTCTTTGGTTCCTTCTCCATCAGACTACTTATGGGCTTCTGTACTTAATCTTTTAAATTTTTGAATGAATTCATTGAAATATTATGGTGTTGTTGCATTGCAAGCCTTCCAAAAAAGGTTCTCAAAAATAGCCCCTACAAACCTCTTCTTAAAATTTGCAACAATGTGCCTTGCACATTATCGATGCTCAACACAAGGAAGCACATCCTTAACTGCCTCCATAAGACCGTTGTGTTGGTTAGGCATTAAGGTAAACCTAGTTCCCATAACTAGTTCAAGATCATCTCTAAGCAACTCCAAAAACCACATCCAGTTTTCCTTATTCTCAACACACACTATTGCCCATGCAACTGGAAATATGTGGTTGTTAGCATCTCTACCCACAACACACAATAATTCCCCATTGCATACACCCTTAAGGAAACATCCATCTATACCTAACACCTTTCTACAACCTTCTAACCAACCAGATTTCACATTAGCAAAACATACATAGAACTTATTGAAGTAGGTCAAACCATCAGGCATGCATTGGACATCCATTTTGACCGTTGAACCTAGATTGCTTCTTCTAATTTCCTCCCCATAAGACCACAATTTTGCATAATGCTCAATAAGAGTCCCCTCAATAAGATTCATGGCATGTTCCTTTACTCTTCTTCATTGACTTAAACTAACCTGTATTCCAAACTTCATGATGACCTCCAATCTCAATTGTCTAATTGTTAACTTTTGTCTATGCAAAATTTCCTTTGTATAATGCTATCCTATCCAAGAGTATGTGACAATTGATCCTAGTTTGTAGTTTCTAGCATAATTATGCTCAATCTTCAATGACTTGATTTGAAATGACACATCCTACCTCATCCATGTAGCCCATAACCTGAATGGGCAAGCTCCTTTGCAACACACCACCAACTAACTTTTACTGTCGTTCTTCTTGAAGCATAGTTGGTATCCATTTGCCACATCATAGTTACATAACATTTTTTTCAGCTGCTTTGGACTTTCAAATTTCATCCCAAGAACAGGTACTTGCCGCTTCCATTGTATATCAGGGTTGAAAATGGAATGGATCTCAACATCTTCTTCTTCAACTTCATTGTCACTAGTATCACCTTCTAGAGGACATAACTTACTAAGAAACGCATCGCCAGTCATCATGTTCAAATGTATTTTGTCAATGTCAATTACTTCATATTCAAGACCTACATTGGGATGGATTTCATTAGGAGCAATGTTTTCTTCTTTTCTAGGTATAGCATCATCTTCAAGGCCACTTTCATTATCTTTACTAATAACCAGATTCATGTCATCATCCCACCATTCCTCCAATCCATTCACATTATGATCAACATAAACTAAAATTTCACCGTATTCATACCCGCTATCTATAAACTGGGTAAAATCCAAATCATCTACAATGGGACGAATCCCTCTAGATAAAGGGATGTTAGGTAAGCAGTAGTAGACGTTTTGAAACTCTTCCCCGATAGCTCTATGAATAAAATCAAAAAGTCCCTTACATCCATACCTGCCCACTCAACATCAGTGAAGAGGAACTTATTCCCACCAACATACCCAGAAGGATGTCGAACAAATACACCATTATAGTGTAGATGAACTCTCAGATATACAACTTTGTTATCGTTCTCAGCCATGCAATAGTGAAACAATCTTCAAAGGGTAGAATACTTTCGACAGCAGCAGTGTAATTTCATTAGTGGCTACGATGGTTAAAAACCCTAGTTCAAATCTCCATTGCTTTTCTTATAAGACGACTAAGGAAAATTAATTCAGATTATTTACAAGTTTTTCCACTCTAGAATAACACAGTTGGCACAATTAATAATTGACCACTTAAGTCAACGGCCACATCACCTTTTTTACCAACTAAATAAATTACGAAATCAATAAGGGTATGAGAGACAAGTAATTTTCAAGTTTAAGGGTCCATAAAGATCGAAAAAACAATATTGGTCTTTTAAAACCTAATGTAAAAGTTAGATGAGTCTCTATGACAAAAACCTTTTTTTCAAAGTAATTTTCTTATCTTGTTATTACATTAATTATTTTTGTATATTGATTAATTTTTATATAAATGTCTTTACATATTAAATTATTTTATAAATATGTTAGTGATTTTAGTGTTATCAACATATTTTGGTGTAATTATTATTAATAATGAGATAAGTCCAACTTCATTTGCTAACCGAGCTTATTTATTATTTGAGCCATATCCTGACATAAGAAGACCGACAAGAGCAATGCTTGAAATAACAATCCATAAAAAAAAGCACCGATACTGAGATCGGCTATAACAAGGTGATAACTAAAAGGAAGTACTAAATAACTTAATAAAATGGATATAACTACTATAGATGGTCCAATACCGAATAAACGAGTATCTCCGGAGGTGCGGGGGTGCATACTCAGTATGATAAATGCGAACTCGGGAATACGGGGGTCCGGCAGCAACACCCTTGGGTGTAGGGTTCCAAGGGGCGGTAGCCCTTGACAGGGCTCGGGGCAGCACCTCGAAACCTAAACGGATTTCTATAATGAGTTAAGCTCCAACCATACATTTCCCATCAATTATAAAGTGATGACATCACTATGATGTCAGAATCGGTTATGTCTTATAACTATATATCCAACCACCTATTTTGGCGCTAAAATTCATGTAACTACTACCAACTACTTTTCCCTCCGGTAGAAGAACTCTTCTTTTGTGACATCCCCAAAATCTCGGCCAGAAAAGACCGATTTTCATTTATGCTTTTAAAATAATTTCAGAGTAAATCCTTTTGATTTGAAAGAGTTGCGGAATTTGTTCCCAAAAACAAAACGTGATAAAATAATATATACCAAAGCATTTCATAAAAGAAATATATTTTCATTATATAATCAAAACTCAGGATGTCATGTTCTCATACAGACCATAAAGTATAAACGATAACATTACAAGTCATTCAACAAATATATACATATACAGACTTGTAAACAAAACAACTTGATGGTTCATCCATCTTATGCCCTTGCGCCACTTCCTGTAATACAAATAAAACTGGGTGGGTCAGGCTTGGGAGCCTGGTGAGCATATAGGGTTTTCAACCCACAATAAATAATTATATTTAATTCCACCAATCAACAATAACCCAATTACCCATTCCCGTTATTCTCACTTTACGTCCCTAAAACAACTAACACAAGGGACCTAGTTTTAGAATATTTCATCGGTGCGACAACACATGCATTCGGGGGTTTCCCGGCAATATATGTCAAATAAGGCAACCATGAGGGGGATGGAGTACAGCGAATGAACACCCAAGTTCATTAACACCTATAGGTGGTGAACCTGCTAGCGTTCCACAGGACTGTCTAGAAAAGTCTGTGGTCGTCATCTAAACTCCGCTAGATGACTGAATCAAAACAACAACGAGGCCTCTCATCTGTTTATTACACACCAACTATCTACCCATGTTCTACCCAACATATTAGTAGATAAAAATATACATTTTTATACATAGTTTAAAAAACATGTATAACATGCTTTAATCAATACATATTCCAAAACAACAGATGAGACACATACACATAACACGTATTTCATAGAGAATAAATCATATCTATGAGATAGAAGGAAGTGAATATACATTCACGCATATAACAACAAAATATACACATAACACGTATTTTATATTAAATACTTAATAATTATGCGTTAGAAGAAAGTAACCACACACTCACTTGATCAGAAGATGATCAGACAGCACTACGGCTTGCAGAAGTAGTAATCCTCAGCAGATCTGGAAGATCTCTACAAAAATCAAACTTCTCGCGGGCAGAGCTTCGGCTCGGGAATCGCACTTCTCGGGATCCCGGGAGCGTGAAACTTCCTTCTTAATTTGGATATGAGTTCCAGGGTGTCGGGATGGCTTCGGGGGTTTACGCGCAGAGTTTCAGCACAAAGAGGAGAAGAAATGAGCAAAAATACCCGGAACCCTCACATCCTATACATAGGAGGCTGAGGCCTCGCCGTACGCTGGGCGTATAGCCTTACGCGGGGCGTAAGCCTCCGAATTCGTCACTGCATGCGTCATCCGAAGAACTCGAGTGCGAGGTGCATCATGCTTCGCGGTACCCTGGGCGTACTTCGGATCAGATCAGTGACTCCTTCGGATATACATCCGAATTAAAGATTAAATTTAAATATTAATTATTTAATAAACTTCGGAAATTCATATCTTCTTCATACGAACTCCGTTTTCGACGTTCTTTATATCCACGCGTAGGTGAGACTACGCTCTACAACTTTCGTTTAGACATTGTCGGCTAGTTTTGAATTTATTTTTATTATTTATTTTTAGTAGGCCCGGACAGGAAAACTTCGTTATAAATTCATAACTTCTTCGTTTAACGTCCGTTCTCGCCTAACTTTTTATCGTTTTACTACAATTAATGAGATCTTCGATTCTCATTTAGATTGTTTCGGCTAAAAACCGCTCGGTCTCAAATTGAGTATTCGGGCTGCATACCGCTAAGTCGAAACTTCAAAAAATCATAACTCCTCATACGAAGTCAGATTTTGGCATTCTTTTTATGCACGCTCTCGGTTTAACGAACTCTACGACTTTCGTTTAGATCACTAAGGCTAAATATCGCTCTAACGTAAATTTCAGTTTTTACGTCATTCAACGTTTGTCGGTTCTGTCGCGAAACTTCGACAGGTCATAACTTCTTCGTTATAACTTGGATTTCGACATTCTTTATATCTTTGAAATCCTTGTTTCGACCACTACATCTTTATGCAAATATATTGGGATTATCCCACACTTCAAATTTGATGCTTATTTTATTCTTAATTCATTAAATTATAATAATTAAGAAAATAAACACATAATTCACATAATACTCAAATATTTCATCATTAATACTTCAAAAAGAGTTACAAGGGTTAACCTATACTATTACATCAATGAAAATGCCTAGCCTGGAAACACGGGTGTTACAATTCTCTCCCCCTTAGAATGATTCCGTCCCTGGAATCACACATCAACAAACAAATGTGGATAGCGACTCAACATGTCACTCTCCGTTTCCCAGGTGAGATTTGACCCATTCGTATGTTTCCAACGGACAAGCACTAATTCGACCATCTTGCGTCGAAGCTTCTTAGTCTTTCAGTCAACAATTGCCGTAGGTTCTTCAATTGACCTCTTGTTTTCATCAATTCTCAATTCAGAAATTGGAATTATATCGGGAACTTCTCCTATGAACTTCCTCAAATAACACACATGAAAAGTGTTGTGAATTCCATTCAGTTCTTCGGGTAATTCGAGCTTGTAAGCTTGGTTCGCAATCCTCTGAAGAACTTCAAACAGTCCAATAAACCTTGGACTTAGCTTTCCCCTCTTACCAAATCTTATAAGTCCCTTCCACGGTGAGACTTTAAGCAAAACCGAATCTCCAACCTCAAAAGTCATCGGTCTTCGCTTCTTGTCAGCATAGCTCTTTTGACGATCTTGAGCTGCTAACATTCTTTCCCTGATCACTTTCAACTTCTTAGCAGTTTGATGGACCATCTCGGGACCCATAAACTATTTTTCCCCAGCCTCAAGCCAACAAGACGGCGTACGACACTTTTGTCCGTATAAAGCTTGATAAGGTGCCATCTTTATGCTTGAGTGGAAACTATTGTTGTAGGAAAATTCGACCAAAGGTAAATGTTCATCCCAATTACCTAGGAATTCTAGGGTAGATGCTCTTAGTATATCTTCAAGTGTTTGTATTGTTCTTTCACTCTAACCATCAGTCTGCGGATGGTAAGCTGTACTTAAACATACTTGGTACCCATTTCCTTTTGTAGACTTTTCCAACATCTTGAGGTGAAACGGCTATCACGATCTGACACAATCGTTAAAGGAACACCGTGAAGCCTCACAATTTCCTTCACATAAGAATTCGCGAGCTTTTCCATAGACCATTTCTCATTGGCTGCTATGAAATGTGCACTCTTAGTGAATCGATCAACGACCACCCAAATCATGTCGTGACCATTCTTTGTTTTGGGTAGTTTAGTGACAAAATCCATCACAATGTCTTCCCACTTACCCATAGGCACAGGTAAAGGCTCTAAACTCTCATATGGTTTCTGATGTTGTGTCTTGACTCTCGCACAAGTCACACACTCGGCTACATACTTTTCAACATCAAGCTTCATCGTTGGCCACCAGTAGTAGGGTTTCAGGTCCCTATACATTTTAGTGCTACCAGGATGAATCGAGTACATGGTTTTGTGAGCTTCCTCCATCAGAAGATTTCTTATTCCTCCTGACTTAGGTACCCAAATACGATCTTGGAATACCTTCAGTCCATGACCGGTTGTACCAAACACCAACGTTTTACCCAAACGTTCCTCCTTCCGGTCATTCTTCTCAGAAGCTTCCTCTTGAGCTCTCTTTATACTCTCCACAATTATCGAGACAACTTCTATTCTCAACGCTCTTGGCCTTTTCCTTTCAACATTGACTTTATGACTAAGAGCATCAGCAACAACATTAGCTTTACTGGGATGGTAAAGTATCTCACAGTCGTCGTCCTTGAGTAACTCTAGCCAGCGTCGTTGCTTCATATTCAATTCTTTCTGATTAAAGAGATA